TATATATATATATATATGATGTCACTTTGTATAATTTAGAATAGCATCACGGAACTCAATTTTCTTCCTTTTTAAATTCATGCTATTAAATCAGAGAAAGTGATTATATTTGTAACTAGTTATAATATACAAGGATCGTATATTAAATGTTATTTTGGCGTGGTTATGTTAAACATTACAAAAGCATTTTCATTTTATAAATTATAAAATATTATAAAACACTTGAAAATCAAACATAGATTGCATAATATACTAAATTCAGTTAATACTTACTTAATCCAGGGCCATTTTTATCTTTAGCTGGTACTTCTGAAAAAATATTATATTTTCATGGTGGGCATAAGTGTACAAAGATAATCAAATATAAGTGCAAATTCCGAAAAAAAATCAATAATATATCTTAGAAATAGAAATTAAGTATCTATATATTTCTTTCGAATCTATACATTTCTCCGGTATCGTTGGAGACTATCGTGCTCATTTACGTAAATGAACTTATTTATTTTTAATGAGAAAATATCCATTTATAAAAACAAAGTTAAAACATTTGAAATTGAAACATTTGAAACATTTGAAATTTCGACAATGCTTAAGACATTATGCCTCATTCTAGTAATTTGACGATGGCAAAACTGTGTCTAAGGAGTAAAATATGAACAAATGTTTTCATACTGTCTGTAAAAATCTGAAGGAAAAAATGTCGAACTCAAAAGCATAACAAATACAACTTGTATAGATTTAAAGTATAAGTACCTACTCCCAATATTATAAGTACTTCCTAAAAATAATATAAGTACCCCCTCACTAAAGCCAAGATGTAAGCGCCTTAATTTGAAAGAAAAAATCATGATAGTTTTCTTATTCTGATACATGATAGTGTTCTGGCTGACTCAAGCAGCTTTTTACATCTTGATACATTAGACGCCACTTGTCATGGCGGTCGTTGTACTAATCTGTATTTTTTTAAGTAATTGAATTTTTATTTAGAAAGGCAATCATTGAAAATCATTTTTTAGAATAGAATACTGTTTAGAATATGCTGCTAGATATGCTAAGTATCAAACAATTTATCGGGTATGTCATGGTATTTATCATTTTCATATTAGTCTTTTCGGATGGCTGGCTAAGACAATTCGTCAATTTAAAACATTTGCAAATGCTGGAGTTTTTACTTAATTGGCTAATTAATTCTTCTAAATCTTGGGAAAAATACACCAAAATAAGTAAGCTGGTGCTGCTCAAAATATTTTCTAGCAATTTTAAAAAAAAGTAAAAAAAGTCTATTTTCTTCGTTAAAATTAAAACCTAATTATGTAAAGAAAGGTGTCGTTCATTTTTAAGAATATCGGTATTTCACTTACCTTCTTTGAATTTATGAACTGCAAAATGAAACAAAAATGTTTTACCAATGTAAAAAAGTTTATTAATTAATTTATTTAGTTCTATGAATAGGCATTCATATTTTTTTAGACAAAAATACAAATAACTATAAATTACTACAAATTACTCTCCAATTTCATTTTATCACAATTTTTATTTTGCCCTTTATATTCCTTTTCTGTTATAACGCTAAAACGTCCAACTATTAGGATCTAATACCGAATTCACCTTCTTTTATCTATTTGTATATAAGCTTACTACGTCAGATTATTAACAAACTACCAGTTATGCAGTTTCAGTGATACTCGTTCCGAGCCTACAAGCCATTACGACCAGCTTTACTCAAATTTGCGTAAGACCGTAGCCTTTCCTATAATTTGCAAAAATAAATGCAATAATGATTCCTTAGTTTCACTTCAACATTAAAATATTATTCTTACTTACTCTCATGCCCCTCATGTCTTCCGAACAAGGTTATTGAAAAATGTGGTGGTGGTCGTAATGCCCCTGCTTATATTTTTGCGAAAGCAGTCGTAGTGTAATTTGTTAGCTTTTAATAATTTTATCAATAAAAATAATTTCATTCAAAATAAATAATTAAAATCAATTATTCCAGACCCATTATTTTGTTTTGGTAAGGAATTTGCTAAAAAACAATTTGATGCTGATCTCACTCTATGAGAGAAAAAAAATAATTGTCCAAATCAATCAATATTTTGATAGAATATTTATGATTTTTTTGTTTATTACTTGTTACTAATAATGCTTCGAAACATTATATACAATTTGTGAAATCATTTTATCGAACAAAGAGTAAATCATGAATATGAAAACGTTCAGTTACTTACTGTGAGTTACAAGCTTTCCAGCTATAAAGATAATACACTTGTTTCAATCAATGAAATCATTAAAAAATATATGCAATTCTAAAGATCATTTTAAAACGTAAGTTTTATGTATGTTACTGAACTGGTGTTGAAACTAGAAAAGTTTCATTTATTTCAACTTATGCTGTTGCTATATTTTGCCACCTGAAACCTATGCAAAAAGACAAACGTGAATTACACCAGGAAGAGCCTTTAAGAACATTATTTGGTTCCATTTAAACAGTTTAATTTGTTTTTTCTTCTTAAAATTTCGTAGCAATTAAATTTTTAAATGCTAAAAAAATACAAATTTTGCGAAATCTGAATCCATATTAATCTTTCTTAATTTCTTACGTAATTAATTTAATAAAAATTATGCAAATTACGTAATTTATTTCAGTTTCGGAATCCCTAATAATATTTCTTAGTTGGTTAAAAAAATAATCAAATTTTATAATTAATACTTGACAAGTTGAAATATGATTTACTTAATAAAAGTGTGTTTTTTATTCTTCTTAAAAATAAAATAAAAAATAATTTCTGTGAAATATTTGTTACACAAATTGTTAATTACGCTTGTACTTTTATGTTTTAAAAGGAAATATTAATTGCGAGATATAATTTAACAATAACAGTATAAAGAAAAGAAATCAAATTTTACTTACTGACTCTATGTTCTGTAAAAATAGAAAAAATCATGACGAAATATATTGCATTGAATAGAGATATCAGTTTAAATATTTTACTTAAGGAAATTGATCATAATTATCAAAATATTGTACAGAAAAAATCCTTATTCATTGTGAAAACTTATAAAAAATAACCGAATCTTTAACTTATAATAAAGAAACGATAAAAAAACTGTATTTATACATTCATAATTGAACTCTTCTGTTAAGAGCATTTAATTTAGAATTAAAATAAAAAATATTATTTTTAGCTGAATATAAAATATTTTGTTATGTTATTTAGGTCACCTAAAGTCATTGGCGACAGCAGCGAAGCATCATGTTTCATCATGTAGAGGGATAGGTTTATTCATTGAAGATATTGGTATGTGCAAAAGGCAAATTTCAAAATTTAATTTACATTTGGTGAGCCATTTTACGTGAATAACAAAGGCTATATTTATTTACTAAAATTATGTGACTTTCATTGAGCTGTCAATAATATGATGATATATAAAGATGAAGTTTTCTCATTAGAAGCCTTGTAAGGAGTTGCATAGGCACAAAATAATAGCTAGATATGCTTTTTTTTTTCTTTAAACGCAAGGAGAAACCTTTATGTGAGAAGAATGTCTGCTTAAATTTTCTGTCGCATTGTTATTCACTGTAGTAATTCCAAAATTGGAATTTATCTACTTTGAAAAGTTATTTTGTAAATATATGAATGAGAAGCTTGCATAAGAAAAGGGACTGAACAAAACAAAAATGTAATATCTAACTTAGCACCTATTTCCAAGATTAGAAGAATTCCGGAAATCTAGTTTAATTATAAGCTCTCACTTTAATAATGAAAATGATGAATTACCGCATTTTCTTATCGATTATATGACTTTTCAATAAAATAAAGAAACATGCATCATTAGCTTATTTACTAAGACGTTTTTACCCCTTATTGTAATTTGAATATTTGAAAAGAAAAAACTTGAAAAGAATTAATTTTCCAGACTAGAAAAGGATTTTGTATTCATAAATCATATATTTTTTTGCTTGGTTTTAAAACTTTAATTTTATTTTCATCAGATAATCAAAGAATTGACATATGCCTCTATAATATGAACATAGTATTAAGACATCAATGGAGAATGATTAATATCAATTGCCGTTTTATCATAATGAAGCTTTTACTTACCAGCTGGATGAGCTTCACCTAAAAGTAGTTATGAAGATATTTTAAAAAGAAAATGAATAGATCAAATATAAACACGTTTTTAATAAAATCATGCTTTAGTATTTACCGAATCATATTTTTTTTATCTACATAACAAAAGTTTTGCTCAAATATTTATACATAAAAACGTATATCATGCCAACAAAGGAATAGCAAATAACTAGTATAATTAGTTATTCTTTCACAGCCTATTATACATATGAAATTTTCTGTAGTAAATCATGCAATTATATCTGTTATTATTTAGAAAGTTACAACTTTAACAGTAATATTAGCTTGTACAAATTGCGATAGTTAAACAATTGGAACAATTTGGAATATATTATTTACATATTTGATACCTTGTGGAATAATCTATTTCTTTCAATAGTTTCATAGTTTATCTGCATGTATGTCGTATACCAGTTAAAAATATCGGCTCTTTAAGAAACCACCAACATTTTTCAGTGAGCAAAGCTACTTAGAAATGTTTTTTTTTCTAATGTGTTCGTTATTTTTAGACTTATTGCAGCTTATATGTCTTTAGGATGAATAAATATTGTTCGAAGAATCCCTCAATCAGACTGATTTTGCTTGAGCTATTACATGATCATCGTTGAAAATTGGAGCAAAAAAGACGATTTAGACGACTTAAAACTCAGCAGATTCTAAAACATATTTCCTCGACATTAATATTATCCGTATCTATGTAAGATCAGCATTATTTGTTTTTTGCTTTTCTTGAAATTGAGTCAACAAAATTTAAGCAACGTGGCTTTAAATTAACTTAAAGTTTTAATTTAAAACAAATAAATATAATTATATTTTATATTGACTTCAAAATGGGAAAAATAGCAATCCTTCTTTCGCTCATTAGATATTTGTAGAAATTTAATAATTATGAATCAGATTATTAATCTAATTTTAAATAGTTATACAAAATCTTCCTTTAAAAAGATCATAAAATAATAATTTATCTCATATTTTAACATAGCGATATTAAGTGGAAATACTTATAACTTTTCAAATGTAAAAATTTATAATTTTTAAACTAAACGCTAAAAATGTTTTTAATTGTTTTAGATTGATTAATTAAGTTCTTTTTGTTTATAATATCAGCATTCCTACTTTTAACTTAGATATTCTATTCGATGTTAACTTAAGACACTTACATAAAGCAAAGAGTGCGACACCGAGGAAAAGTACGAGAGAGTTCATGTTGTCCTGTATATTTTGAAAAAGATGTGAAGAACTGTCCACCGATCCTCTATTTGTAGGACAACGTATATTAATCCAAGTAATGATAACATTAAAAAAATTTACTGTTGTTTTACGGCTGCTGTATTCAAATCAATGAATATTCTGAGCACACAAAAGTGAGTGAAAATAAAAATATTATTTTCTTTAGAAAATTCTGATTGGTTGATTACCAAAACGTACGACATTTTATAGATTATTTCCTTCCAATAAAAAAAAAAATCTATTTTAAAATTGCAGTTAGAAGTTAATTTTATTATTTGTGATGAGCAAAGAAATGAGTCAAGTTAAATTTATATATTATTCTTACTTTTTATTAATGATAGTAGCATGCATTTCCTAATAAAAATTTTGTTTCACAAAAAATTTAACTTTCGAATTGTTTAGAAAAATGTGCACGAAGTACGATTTCAGAAAAAAAATATGTTAAAAATTAATTCGAGAATTATTTGTTGGTAACTGTGTAAAGAAAAAATAAGTATTCTTGTGTTCCACAGAAAGGCGACTATAAAGTTTTAACATGTGATCGAAGCTATTTTTGATTAACTGTTTTAAAACGAGTTTTACTTTTTCTTAGTTTTCTGTTTAAGAAAAATGCTATTCAAAATGTGGTTTCTTTGTTCCTAATTTTCTTTTTCTTGCGCTTCTTTAAATAAAGGCAAATTATCAATTTTTAAAGAAAAACTTACTGACGTCTCACGAGGTCTGATTTTTAAAATTTGCTCTCTAGACTAACAAAAAAAATAAATAAATTAGATATTGCAAGATATCTAATTTAAAATTTATAATAAAAAAATTTTCATCAGGGGTAAAATCGTTTCTTATTTGAACTCTTAGATTGAGTTTCAAAGCAGCTTAGTCCAATTTCTTTACTGTATAGTTTATGCAGTTATTTTGTAAAAATCATTCAATCAAGAGAATTATTCTCTTAACATCAAGAATTTCTGTAAAGATATAATATGTCAATATAGATATAATATAGATATAAAGATATAATAAGTCAATGGTTCGGGCTGAAAGGCCGAAAAACCCAGCGATAATTAGAGATAAAAGAAAGAGAATTGTTCCCAGCAGACAGTTAGGAGCATGAGAAAAGATTCCTTGTTCACGATTTATCTAAAGATAACAAAGCCAAAAGAAAAGCTAACCCCCCGATATCAATTTCAACTTTGAAAATAATTCGGAGAAAGCGAATCAGCCCTGAAGCGAATCGCTATAAAGTCTGAGAGAATTAGTATAACTATGTGAGCGAAATATTTTTGAAATAAGAAACAAAGAAAAAAGAATTAGAAATAGATCTTTTTTCCGATTTTGTCGAGGCAGTGAATTAATGAGTTTCACATTTGAGTTCAAATAAAAAGTTGTCCGTTACATTATTATTAAGAAAGGAATAAAGTATTTAAGCATGCTTTTTTTACAAAATGTAATAAAAATTAAATAATTGGCTAAATTTATTTAAAATTGATTAAATTTATTTAAAATCATTCATTTCGTTTCGTTCAATACGTAAAAAAAACATTTGTACTTAAATTAAAATAACTATATACTTTGACAGTATTTTCCTTTTTGTTTTGAAAATATCGATTTTTATGAGAAAAACAGTATTGAATGAAAATCAATCACTTAGGTTTTTAAACGGTACCTTCTGAGTTCTTAAAAATTTCAATTTAATTGCTGAAATTTTGAAAAAACACTACTTGTTTGTTTAAGAAATAACTTTAATCGTATTTTTCTTAACTGTTCTGATGCTATATTTATATCAGTATGACTTTGCGGAAAGTTTTAATAAAGTATTTTATTGTATCAAGTGATAATAAAATGTAGGAATAATTTTATCAATTTCGAGGAAACAACAAGTACGTTTGAAACATAAATTTGTACTGAAAAATCTACATATCAGATTTCCTTCAAATGATTTATTAAAGTAACATTAATTTTCTGAAAAAAGTGCATAGATAAATTCGTAAAAAAAATATTTTAATGAATGTTTGTTTAAAACAAATGTTTGTTAAATTGCAATAGGTAACATATATATTAACACTTAACATGTACTTACAAAAATTTAAGAATTAAATAAGTGATTCAAACAATTATAATAGAGTATTTAAAATTTTCTTTCAATATTTTCAAAGAAAACTATTTTTTTTTAAAACAAATCTAGTTGAAAATAAGTAATTACTCGTAAAATTAGGTATTTGTGACACAAATGATAGTATTAGAATAAATTCAAATTTTATGGGAATTACAAAAAATAACTTTATAAGATATTCAGCAAAAACTAATAAATACGATCATTTCTATTTTAGAAATAGCTCAGCAAACTTGGAAATATAATAACTACTTTTAACGACTAAAAAGTCTTATATTTAAATATAAAGGAATGGTTATAACGCACTAAATGATAAACGCGTTTTTATTAAATAAGCTAAATGTAATAAAAGCTCAAATAAGGTTATATTTCGTTTTTATTTCTCCTTTTATTGATATGCTATGATACTTCTTAACGGTTATGCATAAATTTTAAAGATCATGTTTTATTACAACATTATTATTTGGTTACTTTAACAAGTTTTAAGTGGAAACTTTCTACGAACTATAATAAAATAATCAGGTGGTATATGGAAGTAATTTGTTTTACTAGATTTGAATCTAAATAACTACGTTTAAGAGTACATCATCGAGAGTCAGTCACTTCTCTTCAATTATTCAGATTATGAGCAAACCTGCGGCTTATTTGTCCCGATTTTTTTATTTTTATATAAGCGATCACCAAATATTTCTTCAGGTGTACTCATCATGACAAACTAATTTCCGATTTCAATGGTACAAAAGGCTGCAAAAGTCAAGAAATCAGGAATTTTAATTTCACTTTATGTTTTATTTCATTCTGTCTTATGAACTTTTAAGCGAATGGAATGTATGTCATGATGATATGTTAAGTATGTAATAAAAATTTAAGAAATAAAAATTAAATATCAATGTTCAATTTTTATTAAAATTAGATTAAGAATGATTAAAAAAACTTATTAAGAAATTAAATACGTAAATATATTTTTATTTCTTTATTATAATTATTTTGAAACACTATATAAAAATCACATTAACTATTTCCCTGCCTTTTCATTCTTCACACAAAACTTCGAATTTCTTAATATTTTTTTTTAATCTTACAATGTCTTTATTTTAGTTTTTATTTTATAGTGTTCTCAAGACTAGCATAACTTTAATGAAGGATTATATTCCAAATTGCATTGAAAATCGTAAATATCTACCTTAAACAATTGTCACAAACTCAGATTTATAATTATGAGCTTAAAATTGTAGAAATTAATATTTGAGAGTAAAGATAAATGTAGCGCACGTTTAATTGCTTTTGATTTTGTCATTTCCTGTCAATATTTTCTTTAAATGTAAAAATAGTGAAATAAAATAATAAAGTTTTATATAGTCATTTAAATTCCTTGAATCCATCAAGTTTTTCTGTCGAAACCTCTTTAAATATTATGAAGGATATGCAGATATATTTTTAAAAAAGAGAGAGAGAGAGAGAAATATCTTTTTATATCTATGATAGTTGTACTTGGGACATTTTTAGACTTTCACCAGATGTAGTACTTTTTATGTTCTGTTGTATGCTCTTTTTGCGCACATCCATATGATTCCTTTAACCTTCTTAGATGTAGCTACCCAATATAATGTACAACTTTTGGTATCATTTTGTAGCTTAAAAAGTTTTACTTAAATGCATTTCTTTTCTGATTGCATGTCTTTAAAACAAGTAAATAAACAAGATGAAACCAAAAAAATCAGTAATTTTTATCATAGTGCTTTGAATATGAAGTTTGGTAAATTTTCAGATAAAATATTGATTGATTATCATGATGTTTGGCAGTAAATTTTGGAAAGCTTGGTAATTCTCCATTTTTTGGTATGTTTTAATGGAAGCGCAAAGATATTCAGTTACTATTTAATTTTTATTTATTCAATAAATGCTTCTTAAAAGTGATTTAATTTAGTCAGCATTCCTTTTTCTTCTATGTGATCTATAAGCTCTTGTCTACCAAGCGAAAAATTTATGAAAACTGCAAATATGTAAATAGATAATGACAAGGATGAGACTGAAGTAAGCGAATGTCGGTCTGTTGACTATTACGTCAATGGGCTTCTTGTTCTGCAATATTTTTCTACAATACAGTTACTATGCTTGCAACATAATGCAGGGCATTCGTCAATCTCTGGTATAGTTCATAATGGAAACCCCTGTTGAGAACATTCCCAGTGTTTTAACTTAAAGAGATTAAAGCAGCAGTACAATATGTTTTTCTGAAGATTCCATTTATATCTAGTATTCAAGAATGAAATGGTAAATTTCTAAAAATGAATCAAGAAAGACAGTGGGAGGGTACCCACTGAAAGAGCATTTTAAGAAGGATTTCCTTGCGGATGAACAAGAAGACTAATTTTGGCTTCATTAGAGAATAAAGCCTATAATGGGTATGCTGAATTGGAAAAAGTAACAAATTTTGCACAAAAAAAGAAGAAAGAAAGAAAAAAAACTCTAATGAATTGAAACCTATTGAATGGTAACATTAATGGATTCAAGTTCTCCATATAAAGGAGTGAGTTAAAAAGTTTCTGACTGACAGATCACAGTAATCAGTGGGAAAATTTCTCAGTAATCCGTGGGAAGTTTTAAAAATGGAATCATCCGTGCACTAAGAAATATGTTCCAATGCATTTACAATTTCGGACTGAACTGCTGAATTTCTTGCTTCGCCTGGCTTGCTCTGGACGAAAAGATTCTCTCCGTCCATTTTCACCGATTGAAATGTAAATTCTATGCAACTGACATTAAATTTACCAAAATATTAACAAACCATGGAAATTTTAAGAGAAATTTATTTCGTTTCCATCTGGTGACCTGTGAACTTTGTGCTTTCGGCGATGCTGATGAAGATGCTGAGCACATTCTTCTTTATTGCAATCTGTATGCGAGTGTCCGAATTAAATTAAATAAATTTTGGGCGTCTTTCTATTTCTTGGCCTCCTGTTTCTTTCAGA